GTCGATATCCATTATCGTCCAAGACCGGTATCTGCCCACAGATTTTTGGATTTGCTGAGTATTAGTCGGGATATTCAGGATGGAAATTTATCTGAAGGGTATTGCACGCTCCAGTTCTTGTACCATCGATATGGTAACCCCCGAGGTTTTGAAGAGCCGAACACTGGTCTAACCCATGCCGGAAATAAAGACAAATGGGAGGCAAGGCGGGGTTTAGCTTTCATGGTAGCCTTCTTGGGTGTTGTAGTTTGTCCACGAAAAGATGGTAATATCGACCCAGCTCGACTATGACGGCAAGTAACTCGACGACAGTCGAAGTTACGCACATGGCCAAGGCCATCAACGATATAATGGCTAAGGCCATCGTCGCCGATAAGTCGACCCAGCTCGACTATGACGGCAAGTAACTTGACGACAATCGAAGTTACGCACATGGCTAAGGCCATCAACAGTATTATGGCTAAGGCCATCGACGCCGATAAGTCGACCCAGCTCGACTATGACGGCAAATAACGCGACGACAGTCGAAGTCATGTACATGGCTAAGGCCATAAATGATATTATGGCGAAAGCCATCAACGCCGATAAGTCGACCCAGCTCGACTACGACGGCAAGTAACTCGATGACAGTCAAAGTTACGCACACGGCTAAGGCCATCAACAATATTAAGGCCGAAAATAAAAGGTACAAAAAGAAAAGAATAACAGCAAAAGTATAACTTCCATTATCATCCAAAAATACATGTACAAAAGGACCCATTTACGTCTCCAAATACAGCAAAACAAAATGAATGCAAGTCCTAAGGGGCTTCGCCATTCTGTTCACCGCCTTCCGTCGGACCGCCATCTCATCCACCGCCGTCCTCGGCCGGATAGGCCGCAGAGATCCAAGAGCCGTATTCTAGACGGTTGACGTCTTCGGAGTTATAGCCCGCCCGGTCTGGGGAATCAGAACTATACCCACAAGTTTCACGGGCGACACGGGCTATGCGCCGTTGCTCTTGAACCTCCGCCTCAGTAGCTCGACCCGCAGCTAAGAACTCCTCGAATACGACCAATCTGGCCTCGGCGTACACCCACATGTCATGCGCCTCACGATGCGCATCCTCATCAGGCCTTGGTGCAGCAGTCCGCTTGAGGACTTCAATCTCAGCCGCCTTGGCATCGAGTTCGGTGGTCATAGCGGCAACCTTGATCCGCAAATCAGCAGCTTCCGCCGCTACCCCACGGCCAACCTCCAACTCTTCTTCCTTAGACTGGAGAAGAGTTCCAGCTCAATGTTCCGAGCCAGGGCGGTCATCAGCTGCTCGTCGATCTGCTCCAACTCGGCCACCCTCCGTTTCAGCTGGGCCTCCGACTGCT